TTGAATTATTTAGTAATCAATTACAGAACTTAACAATAAGTTGTTCTGTGGATGGGACTTATTGGCGTGTTTTAGGAGAGTTTAGATTACCTAACCAAAAAATACTACATTCAATTTCTATTCCTCACCCATTCTGGTGTAAATATATCAAAATTCATCAAACTTCATGGTATGGAAAAGAGTATTATTGTTCTATAAACAAATTTGTAGCATATGGAATATCTTCATTGGATGAATTAGTTGATGATATGGTAGAAACAGAAGATGTAAAAAATAATTCTGTTAATTTATTAGATAATGAACATACATTTGCTGAACCTAGTATTACTCCAATTAAATGGAGTGAAGAAGAATTTATTAATGAGTCAAATAAACCATTTATTAATTTAACTACAAAGATTATAAATTCTTCATTAAATAATATAACAATAGAAAACACAACAAGAACATTTTTGTATAAACAAAAAATGAGAATTCACAGAGTTGAATTAGAACTTGAAGTGTTTAAAGGTCATATAGATGAATTACAAAAACATTTTGTTCAACACATTTTATCATTAAATGAAACAGAGAATGTTGTTAATAAATTATTAACAGAAATTAAAAAAGATATAAGTTTATCTTTTGAAGAAACTAAGACTATGAATGAACAATTAACAATATTTGAGAAAGAAAATACAAATCAAATACTTGAAAATCAACGATTAAGTAAAGAATTACTTGCCTTAAAAAATTCATATCATGAATTAAAATTAAAAATAAATACAAAAACCCAAGCTATGTTTTATATATTACTTATTATTGCTTGTATCTTCTTTTTATTCATTATTTATTGGTCATTAATGTTATCTAGAAAATGTACTAATACTCTTTCAAAAACACAAAAACTAATAACTTCAAAAATTACAAATATATCATTTCCTCCATCAGTCTCATTAACAAAGGATGGCACTAACGTAAATAAGACATTATTAGTTCAACTACAAAAAGAAAATAAAATCCCTCTTATTGTTTCTTCAAAACATCCATGAATAATCTTTGATGTAAGCTATTTAAAAATGTTATCGATAAATTATTATTTATCGTTTTTTTGTTGTTTTTGTATCATCAAAAATAAATGAATTTAATAACAAAAATTATTTACTAAAGAGAAATAAGAGATTAAAAACTTATCTTCTTAATTTTCGTTCTGTTGTTAGTTACTTGGAATATCGAGTAAAATTTTTTTAATAAAACTAGGAAATAATCAAAAATAGGAATATCAAACCCTTTACCATTGAGTTATTTTTAAACAATAGAACTTTAAAAAGAATTTCAAAAGAACATGGGAAATGAAATTCAAAAACCAAGTGGAAATGTTAGGCAGAGTGTTCTTCTAAGTGATGCTCTTCATGTAAATAAAGACACTCTATTATTTGGAGATGTTGTACTGGAAGTAAATAAGAAATATAAAGATGAAATTATTATTACTAATTTACAAAATTTTAAAATTAATTTCAAGTTAGAACAAATATTTGAGAAAGATTTCCAGTTAAAATTTACTCCAGAAAAAGGAAGTTTAGCTTCAAAAAGTAAAAAGAAAATTAAAGCAAGTTTAATTCTTAGACAAAAAATTAATAAAAATTTTAGAGTTAATTTATCTGCTGAAACTCAAGGACAAATTTTCCTTAACGTAAGATTAAGATCTGAATCTGGTGTCTTTGGTGTTGATCCTGAGTCATTAGAATGGTTTAAACATCCAACTCGAGATTTAATTCTTCCACAAATTATTATTACTTTAGATATTGCATTTAGAGAAAAAGGAGGTTTTACTTCAGAAGGAGTTTTTAGACTTGCTGGAGAACAAGGAATGGTAAAAAGTTTAAAAGAACGTTTAAACAAATCAAATGGTATTATTACTGAAGATATGATGGATGCAACTGTTGATGATATATCTAATTTAATTAAATTATGGTTCCGTGAATTACCAAGACCTATTTTAAATGTACTTTCATGTGACCAAATCTTCTATTCTACTGAACCAGCTGAGAGTTATAAAGCTTTTGAATCATTAAATGAAAAGTCACGTGCATTATTAACTTGGTTATTTGATCTTATGATTGAAGTTGCTAAGAACAGAGAAACAAATAAAATGACTATCCAAAATCTTGCTATTGTTATAGCACCTAATTTATATGAACCAGAAAGTACTGACCCAATGGAAGGGTTAGTTATGTCACAAAAAGCTGTTCAATTTGTTCAAAATATCTTAAATTATCTTGAAGCATTAAAAGAACAAAATGGCTCAACAACACATTAATCTACACTTGAATAAAAACAATTCATTTATGTCTTTTTTTAAAAATTTATGTGTTTTTTATTTTAATTTAAAACTCCTCATATTAGTGGTACCATGTCTGAACCACTTGAAATGCCTGAAAGCAAATCTCCCCTTCTAATTCAAACAGATGAATTAAATACTCATGGTAATGCCTCTCCATCATTTACAGACTTACCTGAAGATATTATTGATACAATTTTCAATCATTTAGATTTACCCTCATTTATTCATATGACTTCTACTTGTAAACAACTATATACTAAACAAAATGATTTAAATTTATTAAAAACAGTTACTCAATCACCACAATCAGTTTCAACTATTGGTGAAACAATAAAAAATTACCAAGTTATTAAAATGAGTGAACTTATTGAAAAAGAATTTACACAAGAATTACAAAAAAGTCACAACCTTCAAACAAGAGTAAGATGTGGATTAATTGGAAGAAGATGTTTACAAAATTGGTTTACTGATATTGTCTCCATTATTTTACTCTTTTTGTTTTTATTATTAGGAGGATTAACGTTAGATGGATTTATAAGTACAACACCAATTTTAGTTGATATTATTTTATTAATTGTGTTTCAAGTAATTGCTCCAATGGTTTCTTCTTGTTGTGGGGCATTAACTAAGGATAATAACTTTATAGAGCATATGAGTAAGAATAATAGAGATAATAAAATATATAATGGTTTATTCTCTTATATTCGTCAATTGTATTACTTTAGTTCTAAAAGGTCTTTCCTTCATTTTATTCCATTTGTTTTATTATCAACTTTAATATTATTTTGTCTTTATTTTACAAAGTACATTGATGGTTTTGTCCTCCTTATTCCATTAACAATATATTTGTTTTGTTTTACATTTTGTGGGTGTTTTAGTTGTAACTTATTACCATGGGCATGGTCTCCACCAAAGTTTGAGTGTTGGTGGTTAACTCGAATTATTCCTTATATTTTTCTAATATTTGTATCTTTGTTCCTATGTCTTCTAAGAGGTAGTGAAGTAATTAAAGGATATTATAGTTGTTATTTAATACCATTCCATATCTCAATAGTGACTCTTTTATGTGAGTCATGTGTACTAACTTGTAAAATCTGTTATTCATTACCTGAAGGTAGATGTAAAAAAATATTCTTTGGATGTTATGACAATGAATTAGAAGAGTTTACTGATGGGATAGAAGATATTTGTGAATGTTGTTTATGCACCCATTATGCATCAATCTTTTGGTATTTTATTTTGATTTTACTCTTTATTGGATTGAAACTAGATAATATCGTTCATTGGTACTGGTCATTAACTCTTATTCCTCTTGAAATTTTATTATTTATTGTAGTTGTAGTGGGAGAATTTTATGCTTTTCTATCAACACAATGTATAGAAGGAGCATGTTCATGTTGTTATTATGTTGTAGATAATTCATATATTTCATGTTGGAGATACCCACGAATAGAAATGTTTTTTAAGTTTCTTTGTTGTACTGAAACAAGAGACCATCCATTAAGGCTTTTGTGTTGTTGTGATTAGAACAAAAGAAGAAACAATGTTCTATTACTTAAAGAATTAAATACAAAGTAATAAATTACTTAACCACTCCTATTGTTTTTTATTTTATATTAATCAAAAAATACAGAAATAGATGAGACGAGTTTTTTTTAGGAAAAGAGAAGAATAGAAACTGGATCTATAATAATTAAATAATTACTTTTTATTCATTAAAAACTATTTATAAAAAATTTATACAAAAATTTAATTAATGAAAGAATAAACCTTGTTTTTTATCAATTATTAAACGATTATCATATTATTTCTATAATATGAATAAATAAGAAATAATATAATTAATAGTTTTATTCTAATACAAATATTTCTTCAATTTATATTCAATAAAAAATACTTGGAATATATTAACTATTAACTATCAACTATAAATAGTAAATATTCATAATAAATAGCTAAACTGCAATTAATTGAATAATATCAATAGTCACAAAATACTAAAAAAAAGAATTTAGTGAAACAATAATCAAAAAACTAAATAATATCCTACTCTTTCAATATTTAAATTATTTAAAAGAATATTATTTTCTTTTTTTATTGTTACAAAATAACAACTGTATTTTCATTAATTAGGTGTATTTAAATAACATGTAACTTTTAATATTCTTTTTTCTTTATTCATACAGTAAATAATTAATTTTAGAAAGTATTACAAAACGTATTTATCACTATTTAAAAGAAAATATAACAATTTTATCTCATTTCATATTTTGTTTTTGTTATATTTAATAACTTTTTTATAAACTATAAAAAATTAATAAAATATTATTCTTCATATTAAAACCTTAATAAAATATACTGATAATAATAACTTGATTAAAACATTTTTTTAAAATAAAAATTAAGATGATGATTTGATTCCGTGTTTCGTCTGAATCCTGGTGAAAACTCGACAATCTTATCTGATTTTATTTATTTTTCTAAATAAATAATATTTTGTTATAGTTTTAGTTTATGTTTAAAAGAAATATGAACAATCTAACAAAAAGAATAGAAAAATATAATAAGAATATAATACTTCTCGACTCTATACCTTGAATTTTTAAGTTTTATCGAGATTATAAAAAGAAGGAGAATAGAGAAGAAAGAAAATGTTTTAAATCATCTTGAAAAGAAGATGAGCGAGAGTGAAACATCACAACAACTTTCTGAAAGTACTGAAGCAAATGAAGCCCCAGTAATTGAAACTGCACAATTTAATGAAATTGTTCCTTTAAAGGGAGATGTAATGGAACATTTTGAAAAGATTCCAAGGAAAATTAATGGATGTGATTATGCTTTTTGTAAGTATTGTAAGGCTGAAAGTGATAAAGGAGGAGATAACAAATTATTTAGGATTAGAGCCAAACCAGAAAATTTAAGAAGGCATTTGAAGTGCTGTAAATACTTTTGTGCCGCAAAAGGAATTGCCCTAAAACCAAAAATAAATAACATCCCTGGTGGAGGTAAACGCCCACGCATTGATCCAAAAACTGAAAAAGAAAATGTTGTTGTGGTTGCACCTTTGGCTATTTGCTCAGCTGGTTGTAAGACGTTAACAGTTAAATATTCCAGAAAGTCTGAGTCTATGGATATTACTCCAGGAATGACTGCTCAAGAGGTAGTTGATTCATTGAAAGAAATATTTGATATTGACCCATCAGCCAAATGCTATTTAAGAAGAGAGACAGAGCATAAAGTTCTTATTGGTTGTTGCGATCTTATGTTATTAATTAACAATGGAGAAACTCTTCGTCTTGAATGTTCGAAATAAAAAGCTTCGCATAAATTGATTTTTATGATTGCATAAAATTTTGTTATTTAATTATGTTATTAAAAGAAGAAATTTTTTGTTTAATAACTAATGAAATAAAATTTTTGAAGAAGATATTATTGTTTTGAAACATGTCATTTGAAGATAAAGAAGAACAAGAAAGGAGTAAGTAGATAATAAATGAAACGAAAAAAAATGTTTTTACAAAAAAAAAAATAAAAATAGAAAAAGCAAGAAGAACTAGTATTTATGAAGACAAAAAATATGAAAAAACCCTTTCAGTTAGTAAAATTAAAGAAAAAATAAAAAAGGAAGAACTATTAAATTGCCCATGTCGTCGAATAACAAAGACAAAACAATCAAATATAAGGTAATTACTGTAGGGAATTACGGCATTGGTAAAACAACATTTGTTAAAAAATATTGTCATGCTGAAGATATGAAAGAATCATTTGATAGTTTAGTAAAACATATTACTTTGAAAGATAAACAATATGATATTGTTTTATGTGATACACAAGATATGGAAGATATTTCGTATATTACTGCTTTTTATTACAACGATTCCCAAGGCGTATTATTAATGGTTGATTTATCAAATGAAAATGGACTAAAAGATATTCAAAATTGGGTTGAGCCAATTAATTTATATGAACCAAAAGATGATATTAAAAAACCAATTAAAATATTAGTTGGAACAAAAGCTGATTTAGAACAAAAAATTAGTGATGAAACAATGCAAGCAAAAGCCAAAGAATTGAATATGGAATATTTCAAAATTTCTTCTCAAACAGGTGTAGGAGTAGAAGAAGTTATGGATAAACTTTTTACTTGTATGACTCAGAAATTTAATCCAAGTCCTGAAAAATCAAAAAGTGGTTGCTGTACCGTTATGTGATAAAAAGTATTCTCGTTCTTTTCTGTTCAAATTTAATTGCTCTTTTCTATTTATCATTTATTTTTTAATTTAGAGAAAAATTAAAAAAATAAATATTAAATTTGTGATAAAGAAATAGTGACAGAAGTATTTTGTAATATCTTAGGAATTTCTCTAATATTATCTAATTGAATAGTTTGAACTGTAGATTTTTTTAAATTATCTACAGATTTAGTATTAAATTCTTTCTTATTCATACAATCAATACGTAAATTAATTGGTTGATATAATTTAAGGAAAGATTCTAAAAGAAAATGTTGATTAAAGAATATGATATTAATAATATAAGTATTTTTTATTGGTAATTGAATAAGAGGATAAGATGATTTATTAATAAAAGTAATTATTTTTATATTTGGTTTTAATTTCAAATATTCATTTAATTTGTCATTATTGTAACAAAACCATTCATCAACATATAAATGAATTTCACATGATAGATTAATCATAGAAATTATTGTTAAAATATCATAATAATGACAATAAACAATTACTTTTTTTAAAGAAGTTAATTGTTTCAAATTTAAAAAGAATAATTCAAATGCGGTAATGTCATTTTCATCATCACTATCAGTTTCATCAAAATAAATGTGTATTTTAATAACTTCTAATTTAATCATTCCTAATAACCCATTGAAAGGTGATAGGCAATTTGTAGTAGATTCAATAAACTTAATTTTGTTTCGAATTTCAAATTCTGTGTTTGATTGACTTAAATAACAACTTTTATATTTAATATAAAATGCTTTGCTTCTTTTTACTAAATTATCTTTTAATTCTTCTAATTCTTCGATTTCACAATGAATTTCTTCTGCTTTTGGAAAGATTTTAAGTTCTTTCTTTAACTCTTCATTATTGGGGTTAACGGTAATATTAGAAATAATATCTTTCCATTTTTTATTAACAAGAATTAAATTACATATATCTTTCAAGTGGAGATATTTTATAATAACACTTTCCATGGAAAATAAATAATCACTAAAGAAAGTTTTTTTAGTTCCATAACGAAAAAAATAACGGAACTAACTAAAAATAAGAATTTTGAAACAAAATCTCAGAAAAAAAGGATGAAAAAACAAAGTCGATCTATTTGAACTAGATATTCAAAACTTCAAAAAAAGATTTGCCAAAAAAAGAGTGTAATAAAACAAATAATTTAAGAAAGGAACAAAAATATCTAAAATATCGGGAAGTAATATCAGAAGGAAACACAAAAAGTTGAAAAAATATAAAAAACGCGTGTACACGTAAGCAAATTGTATATAAAGATCCTTCAGAGATATTTGAGAAACAGATTAAATGTCTGCTAAGAAGTGTTTTGCTTGTGGTAAAAGTGCATACCCATTAGAAAGAATTACTGCTGGTGGTAAAGATTATCATAATGCATGTTTCAAATGTAAAGAATGTGGTCTTCATTTGACACTTAAGAATTTCTTTTTCGATCAAGGAACTCAAGCTGTATACTGTAAAAATCATGTTCCAAAAGCTACTGCTACTGCTGTTACTGATTCAATTGCTATTAAACAAGCTTTAAATGCACCAAAGAAAGAAGCTGAAAATATTGGAACAGTTCAAAAAGGAGCTGGAGGAAAACCACATAGTGTTGTTTTTGGTGATTCTAGTGAACGCCGTGAAGAGGCTGCTCCAACTGAACAACCACAAGAAGAAGTACATGAAGAAGTTCACGAAGAAGAGGTACATGAAGAAGAAGTTCATGAAGAAGAAGAAGGTTTTTAAAACATCTTAATTGAAATATTCAGTTTATATGAATTAATTTTTATACTTTTAACAAAGAAAAGAAGATTTGTTTAACAAAGAAAAGATTTTTAACATTAAAAATTTATACATTTTTTAATTAAGTTTTATATAACAAATTTAAGAAACAAATTAAATAACACAAATTTAAAAAGAAAAAAAGATTCTTTTTTTGGTAAAAAAACGATTGAAAGTCAAATAAAATCTGCTTTTAGATTTTAAAAGAAAAAATAAGAATAAAAAGAATTATTTACTATTTAATAAAATAATTAAAAATAAAAATTTAAAACGAAATAATGAGAACTTAGAAATATTAAAATCTAATGACTCTTGTTGAAGACTCTAATCCATTTGATGATGGTTATGTTGCTCCAGAACCACAAGATAAAAGTATGAGTTGCAGCCTTAAAGTTTTAGCTGTTATTTCAACTGCATTTGGTTTTATTGGTGCTCTTATTGTATTCTTTATGGAAAAGAAAAATCAATACATTAGACTTACTGCATGTCATAGTGCATTTTGGCATATTATATTAGATACAATTCTTCTTATTTTATTGTTATTAATGTTTATTAATAATTGGTTCTTCTATACTATCTTCGTTATTTATGCCGTTATTTTCTTCTTGTTTTACATATTCCTTATTGTTATGGCAGTATTCAGATGTGAGTCTGGTGATGCTTTCCTTGTTCCAGGTGTTTCTAAACTTGTTGAATATATTGAAAGCAGACTTTAAAAAAGAAAAAAGTAAAGTAATTACAGTTTTTTTTGACTATTAACTTTTATTTTAAAAGTTGAACTAAAAAATAATGAATGAATATTTATTGTTCTATTGATCAATATTTTATTGAAGAATTTCATCTTAAAAAACCATCAGTTTTACCAACTTCTTTTGAGGAAAAAGAAAGAATGAAAAAAGAATTTGAAGAGGTTCTTCTTAAAAATGATGATGACATTAATCAAGTTATCGCTCAAAGTTGTTTATAATTTAAAGTATTTTATACTTTCATTCTTTTATTACAAAAAACTAAAAATTTCTGACTTGAAAAATAACTCATTTATTCATGTTATTTTTAAATGAAATGAAGGCGCAACTGAGTGTCATAAAAATAATAAGAGTTGCAACTTCTAGGCTATTGGTCATTCCATAAATAATACTAATAAATCCACCAATAAACAATCCATTTATACAACGCCTAACAAATTCAGATAGATTAATTGGCTTTTGACGGTATTGGGATACTAATACTATAATTAGTGGAGTAACAGTGGCTATTGAAGTAGTTATAAGTAATACAAGTCTAGTTTTACGAGTTTTACAGAAATTTGAAATAAAGATTGGAATAATTGACAACATATAACCAATAAGGACAGGCACTAATTTTGGTCTCAAGTAAAAGTTAAAAGCAAATAACCCTAATGGTACAAGAAGTAATATTGGGTGAATAAATACTAAGCAAAGAAGAATTGGAAGAGAAAAGAAAGGAAGAATATATTCAATGTGATTAATAAAATTATAAAACAAACGTTTTTTTATTATTCTGTCTTTATGATATAATCTATTTATTGTAGGTTGTATTTGACTTTTAATATTTATTAAATACGCAACAAAAATACATAATGGACTAAAGATAGCAAGACAACGAATATATGGAATAAAATAAAGAAATAATGTACAAACTAAACTAAGTTGAATAGAATCAATAGAAGTGTGTGGAATAAATGAGTTTAAATGACAAAAATGACATTTTTGTTCATTTACATAATTTTTAACAACATCAGGATAAATGTCGTTTAAGCAATCAGAGGCAGAAGCCTTTTCAAATTTTTCAAAATCAAATAATTTTTCTGATTCATTTTCTATAACATATTCATCGTAGTGGTCCATAAGTGATAATTGACATAAGAGATTGTCATTATAAATAGATCTATGAAATGTTTGACATGTTGCTCCTAATTGGATAAGGTCACAAGGTAATAAGTTTTGGTAAATTTTTTGTTTGATAGATTCTGGTAACGAAATAAATTCCATATTAAATGAATTTGTTATAATGAAATTTTAGTTCTTTCATTTTATATCTTCTTCAATAATTTTTTTTTTAATTTCATTTTTTTTTAATTTTAATAGATAAATGATAATTCAATAGTTTGTGTTTTTAGAAATTTATTCTATTTCATAATTAATGAGAGTAAATGACTTATACTAGTTTAATGACTCAATCATATATTATAATAAATAAAAATTATTTGTATTGCATTGTCAGATTTAACAATACTGTAACAAGAAGGTCAAAGACACATTAAATTTCTCATATGAAAATAATACTTTAAGTCTTATGAAGAAGAAACATAAAAACCTAAATAAAAAATACTAAAAAGAAAATAATAAAAAGAATTAAAAAAAAGAAAAAGAACTTCATACATCAAAACCCTTTACATGAGTGGAAGAAGTAGATCAAATTCACATAGATATACCGATAGAAGTAGATCAAGAAGTAGAGAACACTCACACAGATATGATGACTATAGACAAAGTGATGATTATAGTAGAAGAGATGACTATAAAAGAAGGGATGATTATGAAAGAAGAGATGATTATAAGAGAAGGGATGACTATGAAAGAAGAGATGATTATAAGAGGAGAGATGAAAATAGTAGAAGAAGTGATCATGGTAGAAGTTATCGACCAAGTGGAAGTGTTGTTAACAAATATGATAATATATCTACTAAACAATTACAACCTGTTAATTATGATATTACTACTCTTCCACCATTTGAAAAAAATTTCTATGTTGAATCTCCAATAACGGCGAACAGAGATGCAGAAGAAGTTTCACGTTATTTACAAGAAAATGAGATTCAAGTTAATGGATGTGAGTCTATAAAGGCTCTTTTAACTTTTGAAGAATGTAATTTTCCACAGTCTATTCTTGACGTAATTAAAGAACAAAACTATATTAAACCTACACCAATACAAGCTATTGGATGGCCAATTGTTCTTCAAGGTAAAGATGTAGTTGGTATTGCAGAGACTGGATCAGGTAAAACAATTTCATTTTTAATTCCAGCTATTATACATATATTAGATACACCACTAGCACAATATAGAGAAGGACCAAGAGTATTAATTTTAGCACCTACCCGTGAATTGGTTTGTCAAATTGCAGATGAAGCAATTAAATTTACAAAAGGAACTGCAATCAAAACAGTACGGTGTTTTGGAGGAGTACCTCAATCTTCTCAAATGAAAGACTTCCAATCAGGTTGTGATATTTGTGTTGCTACACCAGGGAGATTAATTGATTTTATTAAACGAGGAGTTACTAGTCTATCAAGATGTACATTCTTAATTCTTGATGAAGCTGATAGAATGTTAGAGATGGGATTTGAAGTTCAAGTTCAAGATATTATTGGTCAAATTCGTCCAGACAGACAAACAGTTATGTGGACTGCTACATGGCCTCAGGCTATTCAACAATTTGCTCTTGGGTTTATGTTTCATCCATTACAAATTAATATTGGAAATCCAGACCTTCATGCTAATGAGTCTGTTAAACAAATTATAGAAGTGTGTCAAGAACGAGACAGAGATTCTAAAATGAATGAAATTGTTAAACGAATTGGATCAGAAAAGAAAGTATTAATATTTGTAAAAACAAAACGAAGTGCTGACAATTTATGTTATAAATTACGTGATCAACGATACAGAGTTGCTTGTATGCATGGAGATAAAGTACAGGCAGAAAGAGATCGAGCACTTTCTGATTTTAAGAGTGGTGCAGTCAATTATTTGATTGCAACAGATGTAGCATCAAGAGGATTAGATATTAGAAATATAGAGATAGTTATTAATTATGAAATGCCAAGTGATATAGAAAATTATATTCATAGAATTGGTAGAACTGGAAGAATGGGAAGAAGTGTTGAGGGAGAAGCTATTTCATTATTTACTTATGCTGATGCAAGGTTAGCTAAAGACTTAATCTCCGTCTTAAAAGGAGCACATCAAGAAGTACCGTCTGAACTTCTCAATATGAGGTATTAATCAGAATGAATAGAGGAATGGTTTTTAGATTAAAAACATTGATTGTTTTGATTTTTTTGTTTTGTTTTTAATAAAATAACAACAATATAATGGTTTTATTTTAAAAAAATTAATTAAATGAAAGGTATTATCCACCAAATAATTTAATCAGTTCATCAGCTACTGCAGAAGGTGTAAATACAGAAAGATCACTAAAAATAAGAGAAATCATTTCTGGTGGAGTGTAGTCGTAAAGAATTTTTTTTGTTGGATTATCTATTAATGTAAGATTAACATCTTCTTGTTCGATTGGATAACTATCACTAAACTTAAAACATTCTGCAGCAACATAAACAGGTACATTAAAATGCTTAGCAATAATAGCAATATTATATGTTCCTACAGAATTAACAGAACCTCCTGTTTTTACAAGTACCTGACTTCCAATTAATACAAAATCAACTTCTTTCATTTTATATGCAACGGCAGTGTCACAAATTAATTCAACCTCAAATTTAGCACCATTCTCTTTTAAATACTTTATGATTTCTTCACCATAATTATATGGTCTTCCTTCAGTAACAATTAATTTAAATTGAGTGTCTTTATGAGACAATAAAATCCCACATACTACCATAGAAAGTCCATGGGTTAAAATTGTTATGGACGGACGAATAAAAGATGAACAATTATCAACAATTTTATCTCTGCATTGGTGAAGTCGATTTTGAAGAACTCTACCACTATGTCTAATATTTGAAAGAACAACAGAAAAATCATTTGCTAATGTTGTTTGATTGATAAAATGCATATATAAATCACAACTACATTTTAGAGTTAATGATGATGGATATGCTTTGATTAAATGAGTTATTGTTCCTCTTAATTCATCACTAAGCTCATGATGTACAGTGGCTACAAATAATTATAATTTTTTATTAAATAATTAGTTTAACCAAACCTTTTGTATTATCAAGTACAAAATTTAATGTGTCAACAGCACAAAGAGCGATTCCAGGAAGGGTCTTGTCATTCATGAGTTGTTTCATATGACTTACAGCATCCAAAATTAGTTGTGGTTCACCTACCTTATTCATAACAAAAATGGTTTATCAGTTAATTATTTAAATAAAAAAAACTATTAGTTTAAATTCTTCTTTTTTTATTATTTTTTTTTAAAACAAAAAAAAAATTCATTTTAAGAAAATGTTAAATGAAAATAAAAATCAAAAACAAAAGAAAGAACAACCATTCATAGAGGTACAAATGATAGAAGAATGAATAAGAATAGATATGAAGTATTTTGTCAGAAATACATAAACTTTTAACATAAATAGTATTATTTAAACAACTACGTAGTTGACAATTGTCATAGTAATAACATTATTAATGTCATGAACTATTCAGTTAATTCATTTAAGCCATTTATTTGTCATAATAATTCAACAATAAGTACTATGAAAATATTAGTGAGACATAAAGACTAACAAAATAAAGAACAAAACAAATAAGTAATAAAAGAGAATTTAAATTGAATAATTAAATGAATGAAAAAAAGAATTTGATAAGAAGATTAATTTCAATGAATTAATGAATGTGATACAGTGAAATGAATGAAGACATGATATAAAGAAAGTGTTTGGATGAATAGCCAATGAACTTAAATAGAAATAAATGAAATAAAGTGTATATTCAATAAAAAATAATTAAAAATATTCATAAGAAGTTAATATACAATGAACAAATTGGAATAATGAAAGTATTACAATTAGAAATATATTCAATAAACATTATTATTAAAAAACATGAAATATCTAATATTTTAAACATTCGAATCTGACAATCCTTAAAAGAAGAACCTTCTAATGTGAATATGTTTTAAATGAGTTATATAATAGAAACAAATGATATTAAATTCACACAAATAATCATTTCATATTACTCATAAAATCCGATTGTGGAATATCTTTTAATTGATATTTTTTATTTATGCATTCAAACTCTCTTTTGCTAATTTACTTATTATTCTCTTATTTTCTTTTATTTTCATTTTCTGTTATTATTCTATATTTCTTATTGGTATTATTTACATTACTATTTCAATTTTCATTGATCATTTAACACTTACTCGATTGTATGTATTGAACGTTAAAATACATTAATTAGTTTTATTTACAAGAAGTAATAACATAATAATTATATTTTGTTATCCTTTATGTTGAAAAGAAACTTATGTAAAAGTATAAATAATGTTTTAAAAAAAATTTGGATTAACATTTTCCAAGAGAAGAGCACACTTCACTAACAACGAATTTTGATGGGTCAAATGTATGAAGAGCTTTCATAGCCATATTCATAGCTTGGTGATAACACTCTTTTTGTCTATCAGCGTTAATTCTAGTACAAACACTTCTTAATCTATTAATGATAATAGAGTCTGATTCATGATGGACAATACCATATTTGGCAACTTTACCAAGTTTTCTACAAATCTTACAATCAGTTTGTTTATTGCATTTCTTTCCTTCTGGACGAAGAGCAGCCTTTAATTTTCCAATTCTGAAATGAGTTTTCTTGATCTTTCTAATAGTTTTTTCAATTGAATTGTCAAGTTCTTCAATACTGGAATCAATAACTTTAAGTCTTCTAACAGCATGTTTTTGTTTGTTTGAATCAATAGTATAAAGAGCAGTCTTAGAAACAACTGGTCTTTCTTTTTGTTTAGCAGCAAGTCTAACTTTAAGATCAGAAAGTTTAACCTTCAACAATCCATCATATTCATGTGATAATTTCAAAGCTCTAACAATAACTCTCTTTTCTTGTTTTTGAACAGTAGCAAAATCAGCATCAATATCAGACATAGCTTGTTTGACAAGTCTCAATCTATCATTTAATGCATTCTTATTAACAGCATATGGTTGTTTTTTGAAAATTTCATTTTGTTCAGCTTGATAAACAGCCATCTTTCTCTTAAGAGAAGCCTTTCTCTTTTCAAATACGACAAATTTCTTGTTATATTTCTTAAAGACAACTTTTGCTCTTCTAATAGCAGTGTATTGATTATGTCTAAAGAATAATTGATTAACTTTTTGAATTCTCTTAACTACCTTGAACAATTTTAATTGAACTCTCTTTCCTTCTTTTCTAATAAAGGAAAGTTCTTTGTAAAGTCCTTTCATAGCTTTTAAGACAGTAGTCTTTTTGATTGTATTATGAATATCAGTTTCTCTCTTAGCAAGTGCCTTCAATTCACTTAATAACCATGCTTGTCTTGCGTATAATTCTGATCTTCTTGTGTGTAATCTATTAATAGCTTTAGTTCTAAGTGTGATATATCTTGAGTGTGCAGTACTAACCTTTAATTTCATATCCTTTCTTGAAGCAATAGCTCTTTCTAATTTCTTAACATATTTCTTCATTAATCTTATAACTCTAACTTGTTTGAATGGTGAGTTTTTACATTTATCAATTTTTCTCTTAAATATAGCAACTTTAATTCTTAATCTATTGATAAGAACTTTCATTCTTTTAGCAATGGCTTTTTTATTCTTATAGTATTTTCTTGCTGCTTCAAGTTCTGCTTTTCTTAATTGTTCAAGTTTTCTAATAACATGTCCATTTCGTTTAACAAATCTTCTAATACTATTCTTTAATTGTTTTTCAATATTTTGAAGTGTTCTTACTTTAACCATTAAAATATCTTTTTGAGTTGAATTCTTTCTAACTCTAACAGCCATAATTTGATGTCTAACTCCATTTAACTTTCCTTTCAAATGATTTAATTTTCTTACAATTTTAGCAATTCTCTTCTTTTGAATTAATCTAATTCTTCTTTCAATGGATTCTACACGTATTTTTAATGAATGAATTCTTTTGTTATTTCTTCTAATCTTTCTAGTGGCAATTGAAACTTCTTTTTTATAAACTCTTAATCTTCTTTTAATTCTTAATCTATTTAATGGACATAATCCCATTCTTTTTTGAAGTTTCTTCAATTTATCAATTCTTGTTAAAAATTCTTTCTTAGTGACTTTAGCGGCATCTTTAGATAATTGATGTTCACTAATTCTAATCTTTGCATCAGCCATTTTTAATCTTAAAATTCTTAATTTATAATTTCTAATTGTCTTCTCTCCTTTTTCTTCAAAGAGTTCAAGTGCACTTCTAGCTTTTTCAAGAATATTCATTGCTGCATTCTTTTTATCAGTTAATTTATTTAATTCCATAGCATCTACTTTTCCTGTTTTCTTAGCACTATGAATTAATGTATTAATTCTTTTTTGAATAGCATTAACAGCAGTAACAGCTTTAGCAACTTCTAACACTCTAAGTTTTTGATCATATTTCCATCCTTTTTTATAATTATTCATTCCCTTAATTACATTAGCAATATGATTCCATCTAGCTTTTCTTTGTGATTTTCTTAACTTATGAATATTAACTCTAGCCTCAATTCTCTTTAACATAGTTACAGCTGTTTTTTGTTTATTAATTAATTTTTTCCTTTCTTCTTCATTTTCTACTTGATCAAGTTCTCTTTCAATCTTTTTGATCATATGTTTAATAGCAGATACTCTAGCAATTCTTTCTAATTGTCTTAAGGCTCTTTTAATATATTGATTCTTTTTAGCTTCAATATCTTTCTTAGTAGTAGTAATTTTAGCATGTAACTTTTGTTGTTTATATTCCATTCTTTTATAATCTCTATCAGCTTCTGAAAGCTTTTTTGTATAATGTTGAATTCTTTTAGCAATTTTTTCTACTTTTAAAGTTTTATGTGTGACTTTATGACTTAATTTAAGTTTATCTGCAACAGCTTTCTTAATAGCATCAGCTACTTTTTTATCTGCAACTGATTCAGTAGAATTAGTCTTTTTGGCTTCTAAACGAGCTTTAGCTGGTTCAAGGTCAAGTGCTTTAATTTGAGCATTAAGTTGTGCAATTTCATTAGAAACTGATTTCTTTTCATTTATAGCTGAGTCACGAACTTTTTGATAAGTTTCTTTTCTTGCCTTTAATAC